CGCTATGTGAGCGGTCGTCGCGTGTGCACGCTGATCGATGGCGTTCGCGGCCGGTTTGTGCGAGTGACTCAACTCGCGTGCGCTTCTGACCATAGGCCCTGAGTGCACTGCCGCTCCCGTCCCTGTAACGGTTTAGTTTTTAGTTTATCATCTCGTTTATTAGTTTAGTTTAGTCAGATATGTTAAAATGAACTACGGTGTTGCCTATATGGAACCCCTACCCGTAGCAGTTTAGGATCATGCCGCAGTGTGAGCAGGAACGGATGCCTCCCAGCTTTTCAATGTCCCTCTTCCTGTGCACCATTATGGGTCGGCAAGGTGTTTTGTTCGCATTTATAATTCATGTGAAACCTTTGAAGGAAATGAAAGCCAGTAGCTGGTCTGTTTTGTGCGTAAAGGAATCTGACTGAGGGCTAGACCCCCTCTATTTTCTCTGCTTGAACCACTGCGTTCAGTGAATAGTTCTTGTCGTCGGTACGGCATTGAACCTATGACTACCACCGGTGAGATTGATCACGCACTTGCGGACAGTCTGACCTTCATTCCGAAAAAAATGACTTTGTTGGTCTGTTAAGAGGTAGGTTATTCCAGAGCAAGCCTCGGCCTCTTTCCTTTCTCATGCGCTGATATTCTATCGGTGAGGGGTGAATGAGATCGAACGCAGTAGTTGGTATTTGCCTTAACTCCCGTTAAACGTCTGCCCTACGAACTGTTGGCGGTTACGGTGGACTTGTCTAGACTTAATGCAGCCTGATCATCGCAGACTAATAGTCACTCGAACCCCCAATCTGGGCTGATGCGACTGCGGAGAAGTGTGTTTTAGTAGCCAGTATAGGTTTATATGGCCGTAGGTGCACAACTATCTATTTGGTTTCCGAAGCCAATGAGCTGTAAGTAGACAAACAGAGAGCATTGAATGATTACCGTCCACCAGGTAGTCGGGTGACCAAGTCAGCAATGCAGCCCGAGACCGATAAACTCGATTAGACCGAGGCAGAAGCTGTCGCAGGATTCATCGTGCCCCCTCCTGCAAGTCCTACGCATCATTAAATTTGTGTGACTCTATACAAAAAATGCGTCCCACTGGGCCAGCTTCGCTGCCTATTCTTCAGTTGATGGGTCATTCACACCATCAAATTGAAAGCATCAGTGACTCACCATTCCTTGGAAGGTATACTAGACTGTATCCATTTGTGAATGTCAAAATGTTCGCGACATTTCCCTTCTGGGCCCACTCGTAGACATTTTTGTTTAATCTGGTCTTTAAATTTCTGTGTAATAAAGGCAGTAAAATTGACAATTCAATGGTTGAGAATCAGATTCTTCGGTGCTTTTCAGGCACATCTGTTTAAGGCCAGCTATTTTCTTGCTCGCTGCTTGGCTCTGGGAATGTTAACAACATTCAAATAACACCCTACTTGAAGTCTGACCTAAAGGTTGTAAACCTCCGGAGGTTTATACCTCATTACCATCTCATCAGTGATAGGCCTTCTTCCCCTGTAGATCAGACCGTTATTCATAAAAGCGAGAGTATTCAGGTTTTCTCGGTCTTCTGTGGAAAATCACCTGCTTTACCCGGTGATCGGGTTGAAATTTGCTAAAGTAGTTTACTCTGTATTGTTTACTTTACTGAACCAATCAGATTCTTAGCAGAATTCCACCAACTGGTTTACTGCAGTTTTGGTTACTAAATTTTCTGTAAAATTATTTATTTGTTTTTTAATTAGACCCAGCTTGGAATGGAATTTGAAATTCGTGATGTGAAGAAATAATTATATGCAAAATACTGGTTGTGGAATCTGAGAAAATTATTAGATGCCTTTCTGTATCAACTGCCAGGATTTTACTGAAATCTACTACCCGTTAGCTTATGCCCTTATCTTTTTTATTACCAATAACAATCACAAGGACGCCTGGGACTCCTCTTTTGTCCATAATCTCCGATTATTATAGTTCTTTAAATATTTCCAAGTTACACTTGATTAAGCATGCATGCCCTTTGTTTCATTTAAATAGAAAGTGAAGAGCCTGGAATCTCAAATAGCCAGCCTAAAACGTAATTGTGAGAACCTACGTCAACAGGCAAAAGAGTCAAAACGGGAGCTTGAAGCCCTTAATACCAAAAAACAGAATCTGGAATCATACCTCGAGAAAGCTCAATCGGAAAAACGTCTGGCTCAGCAGAAGTTGAGTGTTTTTGCGTTAGAACACGCAGCCCTCAAGGCCGTTGCCATGACGTCGACAGGGACCGCTTCTGCTAACGGCGCCAACGTTGACGAGGATTGTTGCGATCCCCATGCACGCTCCTGGGCTGACGGTCGGACACGCAATCCCAAAATGCGACCGTCGCCAGTGAAGCTATGTCAACCGGGTAGTGACGCCAGTCGCCCACCAGTTACCTCGGATCCGCTACCGCCAAGTGGGTTTAGTTGAGTCTTTTTTTACCCTGCTCTACTCTCCT